AATGGTTGAAGGCTCCCACGCACGCGCGAGTGTATGTGTTTGTGTGTGATATTAGCAAAATGATATCAAATTGCTGCAATTTTGTGAAGGAAGTAGAAATTGCCCTAACTTGCACATACATCAAGATATATCGCTACTAAAGTTGTTGTAGTATATATAAATTAGGAATATCAAAATATGACACAATCCGTTAGCACAACACAAGTATGATACGAAATTAGAAAGTTTGAATTTTTCTTAAGCCATTTTTTTTTTTGTAAACTAATGAATTTAACACAACATGATTGATAAACAAATCGGTTATAGGTGAAATCAATCAAAAAAATACAAATTACGACTCTTTTATATACCAGTTATGCACAATTCATACGCGACACGAATTCGATATGATACGATTCATCAGACATGAATTAATAAACGAATCAGATATGGATGAAATAGTTTTTGACGAATCCAATAAGACTCAACACGAATCCATCTCACCCAACATGATTGACATCTAATATGAACCACCCATTACTTACACCATGAGGAAATATAAACACCCCCTCCCCCTCGAGGAAAAAAAACAACAAAAGAAGTTGCCAAAACATAATAAGATAGCTCTGTGCCTTAATTCTTGAGGCAGGAGCTCTTATACCCCAAGGGGTTGTTTGGTAAGTAAGTACGTGGGACTTGACAATGACAAGATTGGTTTGAAAAAAATAGTACAATGAACTCTAGAACTCTTGTTTGGATGACTTTTTCAAGCCATGAACAGCAGTCCCAGCCCAACACCTTATACCCTTGACCGTGCGTTTCATCAAATCCATGGGGGGCAAATTCCGATCAGCCATACCCGAATTAGTGAGACAAATTTCATTTGTACCCTAAGTTAAATAAACATGAATATGAATTGAATTAGTTATTGAACAATATAACCATTTCTAAGACAAATATATAATGATAATGGTAATACATTTGTGAGTCCCACACATATATCAGTTACATACCAAACACGAATATAAATTGGATTTATCAATGAATCCCATGAAAACAAAAATGGGAGTTGGATTTGCGGAAACCAATCCAATCCCTCCCCCAAAGATCATCCAAACAAGCCACAAGAGTTGTCGAATAGTGAACTGACCACACGGGACAATTGCACATAAAGTGAATTCAACGTGCTAGCGCACGAGGCACACATGGATATCAATATGGGAATGCAGAGGGAGCGACAGATTTTGAGATGAGACCTCAAATGCTAATACTGCGAGTAACAGCAACTGCTGGTGATCACCTTATGGTACAGGTTACAAGGGAAGAGAGAGCAAACATGCATGTAAAATAAAGAGAGAGAATTTGCAAATTAAGCAAACAACTCGAACATTGATAATACATAATACAAATAATTTCAGATATCTGAGCTCGATAGTCACCGAATAGACCAAAAAAATACTAAAGCCCCAGTTTCGAAAGAAGCTCATGCCATCTTGGAGTTTCTTCATCAAAAATGTATGTCAAAGGAGATACTAGAACTCCGCAGCCCCCAACCTGCGTCATACAAGAGTGTTATGCGATGAAGTTCACTGAGTCATCTGAGAAAATCTTAAATCTGCAATGAGACAAACGAGGAGAGGAATCGATTCCTTGGAAAGAAAAATGAAACTCAAGAAGCATTTTTTCGACACGTGAACTCCTGGACAAAAAAGACAATAGCATGAAAGGATGGTTGAATGGCTTTCCTTATCAGAGTTCATGTGGTGGTTTGAAATGACAATAACTAATGCCAAGGTTGTAACAACCTTAAGTTTGCCTACGAGAGGGGTAGGGATCAGGGGCTGTGAGGTGAGGGTGGGGGGGCCTAATATTAACTTCTTTTTTTCCATCAATTATCTATGAAAAAAAAAAATCCATTAAAGCACAGGTGTCTCACCGCTCTGAGCTGTTGAACAGACTTGTAGAGTGCCTTTTTGGGTACACATATGACTATGGCATAATAATCAGCTGTAACCTTCCCATCACGTTTGCAAAAAACTGGACTAACCGTGGGTCCCTGCGAATATAAATGTGGAAAGGCAATTAAAAGAGGCTCTTAAAGATTAAATAATTTAGTCAAATGATAAATATTGGTTTGTGCTGCGACAATACAAAATAATATAATTTGTCTC